CCCCCAGTAGCCGGCCCTGTCCCCGTCCCCCTTTCCCTCTCCTCCCCGTCTGGTAGGGCCTTATCTTCCCCTGGACCCACGCTAAGATCCGCCCACCATCTGGTCCACCCTGCTCACCATCAGAGCCGGCTTCTTTGGGTGTGGAAACGTCCTTCTTGGTTTTCGTTGGCCTGCACCCTGGCGGGCCTCACGCAGGTGGGTCCTTTGGGGCTGACTCCCTTCACTCAGCGCGTCCTTTCTGGGGCATCACGGTGGTCCAGCTCCCCTGACCGTGCACAGCAGAACCGGCACTGCCTGGTCGTCCCGCACTGTCCGCACAATCGGGCGCATGGTGGCGTGTGCTTCCTGCCCTCCACGTTACCCAGGACAGAGGCCTCCTGGGGACTGGTCTCTCTTGACAACACGTTAACACGCATGAGATGACGTCTCCCCACCCGTGCCTCTGAGGAGCATTCTGCGTGTACGTCTCCCAGACAGATTGGTTTGTCCCTCTGGCTGTCCGTGGCATTCAGGGTGCCTCACCAGCACCCCATCCAGATGCCTCGATCCTTCCTCAGTCTTCCTTACGCAGGGTCCCACTTCCGCACACCTGTGAGGCGATGGGAAACGCCATGGCTTGACCGTGAGCACCTTCGTCCCCCAAGCCGCGTCCTTGCCCTTCCACACTCAGTCCATGCTGCCACGAGGCGCTTCACAGGCTCCTCACTGCCCTGGAGGCAGTGCTGGTACGCCACTGTGTGCGCTCCGCAGCTTACTTACCCTCGGTGCACCGGTGGGCGCGCCCCCGGCTGTTCCCAGCTTCTCACTGTGTGAGCAGTGCTGCTGTGCACGTGGGGGCGTGTGTCTGTCTGTCTGTGCTCCCTGTCTCTGTGGACGGGGAGTGCGTGTGTCTGTCTGTCTGTGCTCCCTGTCTCTGTGCACGTGGGGGGGCGTGTGTCTCTCTGTCTGTGCTCCCTGTTTCTGTGGACATGGGGGGCGTGTGTCTGTCTGTCTGTGCTCCCTGTCTGTG